ATTAGGTTTGATTTAAAAAAATAAATAAAAATATGTTGAATATATTTAAATATATACTCGAAGTGCCTTTCTTCTAGTCTTATTATTCTTAAAACTATGCTATCTTGCTGTTTCCTCTACACCCCTTACAGAAGCAGGCCTTCTTTGTGTGGCTGATGAAGTTTCAGCCCTATTTTATTCTTTCCACTCGGCCTGCTCCTGTGTCATTGATGCATAATGGCTTAAAACCTGCAATGCACTAATATCATCAGCTAACATAGAATAGGAGTTTTGTAATGCTTCAATTGTATCCTCTAAATGCATTATTTTACGGTCATGGTCTCTCTGGATCTTATGTAAATTATCGATTTTAGTTCACAGTAAACGATTTTCTAAAAAAAAAGAAATAGTTGCAAATCGAAGAAAAAAGAAAAATAAATAAATAAATATTAGTTATAAATCAGTATAAATTTGGCTACCATTTAAATAAAAAAATAATAAAATAAATATTAGTTATAAATCGCCATGAATTCAGCCATCATTAATTTAGTCATATTTAAATAAAAAAAATAATAATAAATATTAGTTATAAATCAGTATGAATTCGGCCACTATTTAAATAAAAAAAGCAACAAAAAGAAAAAAATAAAATATAATAAATATCAGTTATAAATCGATATGTATATATTTGGTAGTCATTCAAGAAAGAAAGAAAAATAATTATTATAAATATCAACATATATTCAGTTAAGTAAAAAAGAATTAGTAAATAAAAATATTAGTTATAAATCAGCATAAATTCATCACTATTTAAACAAAAAAGTAAGGAAAAAATTAGTAAATAAAAAATTAGTTATAAATCGACATAAATTCATCACCATTCAAGTAAAAAAAGAAAAAAATTAGTAAATAAGTTACAAATCGGCATGTTCCTTTTTTTTTACAGTAAATAAAAATTTATCATTCTCAGGCCTTCTATTTATATCCAATAATTCATAATTCGATAAAGATTCCACTCATTCACTACTTTCACTTCTGCTTCTACTACTTCTGGATTTCAGTAATGAATAAGGTAAACGAACAGTAGGAATAATGAGAGAAGTGATAGTTCTTTGAGGAGAAATAATAACAGCTGGCTGAGTCAAAATAGTAGATGGTTGGGTTGAAATGGTGGATGATATGATCAAAGTGGTGGATGGTTGAGTCGAAGGAATGGTTGATGGTTGAGTTGAAGTAGTTGATGGTCTAGTCAAAGTAGTAGATAGTCTGGTCAAAATAGTAGTGGATTGTTGGGTTAAAGTGGTTGATGGTCTGGTTGAAGTAGTGATAGATTGTTAGGTCGAAGTGGTTGATGGTCTGGTCGAAGTAGTGGTGGATAGTTGGGTTAAATGAGTGATGGATGGTTGGGTCAAAGTGGTTGATGGTCTGGTTGAAGTAGTGGTGGATGATTGGGTTGAATGAGTGGTGAATGGTTAGGTTGAAGAAGTAATAGATAGTTGGGTCGAAGTAGTAGTGAATTGTTAAGTCAAAAAAATAGTAGATGGTTGGGTCGCAAATCTAGAAGGTTGTGATGTTTGTTGGGTATGTCTTGTTCTAGCCATAGTAAAAAAAAAGATAAAATTTTCAAATAAAAATTTAAGGAAAATTTGGAGAAGTAAAGTTCTTCAAAAAGAAACAGTTCAAATTGGGTATATTTATAAAAATTTTTAAATTCTAATCGCTTAAATGACTAATTGAAAAAATAGCATACATTGTTTTTGAATTCATATTCTGAAATCAAAATATGACAAGTATTATATTATAATCGATATACTTGTTATATATCAATTCACAATTCACAATTCACAATTTATACATTATTTTAAAAATTATACTGATTAGAATGACATGTTAAATTTAATTATGCTAATATTGATATTTTTTTAAAAAAAATTTTTATTGGTATTGATTTATGTCATTTCGAATTAACATGACTTCAAAAACCACATATAACATCATAGTTGGTCATAATAACTGATCATATAAAAAATAACTTGTTATATCTAAACTATAATATGAAATCAAAATGATATATAATACTATCATTAGCAATTAGTAATTTTTTGCCAAGTAATGATTTACTTAATTTTATCTTTGACATTTATTTATTCAATCTAACTATTATCATGTTGATTACATAGTTTAACTAACTCTTTTACACTTTACATGTTCAATAATTCTTTTAATATCATCATTGCTGTATTCTGAAAGATGATTGGTCGTAAAACATTCAGCTTGGTCAATTGCTCTAACACCAACTTCACTAAATATATTAAATATATTTCATGCCTTATGCATTATCTGATGAAGATTGCCTATTGGCATTTAATGACTCATATAAGGTAACATTGTGTTGTATATTTGTGTGCGAGCTGCTCTATCTTTTACACTCTCACTTATTAATTCCCTTACTTGATTCTTGAAAGCTTTAGCATAATCATACTATTTTCTAATTTCTATTGAATTAGACTTTTTTGATTGCTTTTTAGCTTGTTTTGCAATATTAAATAAATCGACTAAAATTTGACCTGTTGGTTCGTAGGCTTCAACTGAGCTATCTTCTGTCCCATTAGGAGTAATTAGAACCTCGACAACTTCTGTTATTTTTTTTGGTACTTTTGACCTATGTGGCCTTTTTGATAATGTCAATAGAGGTTTCAATACATTATTTGCAGACTCATTTTCCTAAATCAAAATTAATTTTCAATATACATTTCATAATATAAATATTATATAATACTGTATAATAAATTTTAATAATGCTAACCTGTTCATTAATTTGTCCATTGACTTGTGCTTGCCCACCATGCACTTGCCCACCTTGTACTTGCCTGTCATTCACTTGCCCACCTTGTTCTTGCCTGCTATTCACTTGCTCACCTTGTGCTTGCCTGCTTTGTGCTTGCCCATCATGCGCTTGCCCATCTTGTGCTTGTCTGCTTTGTGCTTACCCACCATGCGCTTGCCCACCTTGTGCTTGCCTATCATATGCTTGCCCGCCTTGTGCTTGCCAATCTTGTGCTTGCCAATCTTGTGCTTGCCCACATTGTGCTTACCTGCTTTGTGCTTGCTCACTTTGTGCTTGCCTGCTTTGTGCTTGTCTGTTTTGTGCTTGCCCACTTTGTGCTTGCCCACACACTTGCATTTGTAGTTCATTGACTTGTGCTTGTTTATTAATTTGCTCTTGTTCATTATCATCTTGTGCTTGTAGTTCATTGAATTGTACCTGTTCATTGAATTGCACCTGTTCATTGAATTGCATCTGTTCATCAGCTTGTGCTTGTAGTTCATTGGCTTGTGCTTATAGTTCATTGGCTTGTACTTGAAAAGATAGTATATTTAATATTTTTTTAAGACAATGTGGAGTTGACGTTTCAATATATCGATTTGGTGTTTTATAGTCTTTATATTTGTAAGGACAACAATTATATTTCATAATACATTTCTAGTGAAAGAAGTGTCTGCAGTCGAGTAAAATTACTGATTGCAAAAGATTATGAGAAATTTCACAACTATATATTTTGCAAATATTAGGGTCTCTACATTCTACAAGAATTAAATCATCATCATCGAAGTACAATTTACAAGCAAATTTTTTCAGTTCATCCATAATTAGTATGAAAAATGGTTTTACTATACACTCACCCAATTGCTTTATAAATATATTAAAAAAAAATAGATTTAAGAATTAGTAATCAAATAATATAGACTCGTAAGTATAAATCTTATTATGAGTTTAAT